TTTATTTTATTTGTTTCTGATTATATTTTGTTTTCTTGTATTTTATCGCTCTGCTGACCCTTGGGGTCCATTTTATTTTGGTATACCTTTTCTAGGTACGTTAGCCTGTGACCACGGAAATTGGCCGAGTCAAGTGATGGATTAGTACGGAGAGATTGAGACAGAAGGAGGTACTGGATAGAGAGAACGGGATGGTTTTTAATGTGAAGACAACAACAACAACAACAACCACCATATTCACGGCGACATTGTTCAAAGGTCATTCACAATCGTTCGGGGTGTGTGTGCTTGGGGCAGTGATGTCGGGTTAAGGGACTGGGCCGCGGATGCCCCCCGGCCGGGACTATTCCTGGTCGCTGACCCTCCCCGTCTTCCTCCTCAAGTGGAGGAGTGTCCCCCCTCGGGATAACGTTGAGGTGCAAAATAAAATTGACAAAGAGGGCACGGATGGACCCCCCGCCCTGCCGCCGCTCTCCTCTGCCGCGAAAAAAATAGGTGTCCCCGACGTTTACCCGTTTTCTTCGGCATATATCCCGACAATACGACCATGCCTGGGAAGTGGGGTTGTGTGTGGATTTCGTCTACTTTGGGAAAATGTAGTCTAAGCGAACAGAGGCAGCAAGTAACAAACATGGACGAGAACCTAACTCATCACAAGACCGAACCGCACGCGTTCAAAAACAGGTGACTGTGGTGCGGAATTGTCCGCCAAACGCGCCGGATGGTGGCCAATGGAGGCAGGAGAGGTACTGCGGGCTCATCACGTGGCTGGTCGCCCTCTTCGTTGTCCCGTTTATCGGCTGCTGCATGCCGTGTTGTCCGTGCGACGAGCGGACTGTGAGTGTTTGTGCTGCTGCTGCTGCTGCTGTTGTCGGCGTTGTATCCGCTATGTTGTTGTCGGAGGATATTCTCGCTTCATTCATTAGTTTTGTTTACTCGTCGTGGTTGGTGGCCTCTCTCTCAGAGGATTGGTACTACCGTGGAGGGCCATATGCCCGGCGCATTGACCCGCGCTATTCAATGTACAGAACGACTTTGTGATTCAGTCTGTGCCCAGCAGAGTCACCGAAGCCACACAGGGCCACCGGCGCTAGTCAGTATTGAACGCCGCCCCCCCCGCTGTATCGAGAGGCTATGTCGATTGATACCCACGACGTTGACGCTAGCTACGCGTATGGTATCTGGTACTCTAGTTAAGTGGTCTACGGTATCCCCCGCCCGACACAGGGGGATTCGATTGTTTACCAGACGAAGGAACCCCCCCCCCTCTCGCGCTCCTTTCCCACGGTGACGACGCGCCCTCGCTCCTCCCTGTTCAGGTTTATATCGCACACGGCGTACGGTACAACAAAGACGGCGCCATCATTCAACCAAGTTGCTGTGGCTGTGGCTGATGAGAGAGGGAGGGAGAGGGAGAAAGCGGAGAAGAGATTCTCCGGAGACAGGGACGCGACCGGCACAAGGAAACAAGCATGACTTGTTAATAATCAAGTTGGGGGGGGGGGGATCAAGGCTCACGACGCCGCCCATTCGTGACAGCCGCTGCCCTTGTTGCCCCCCCCCGAACTTGTAGCCGTCATCTTCGAGAAGGAGAGTCGGAACTAGGAAATTTCCCCCACTCTTAATCTTTACTCCTGTATGCAGGCTGCTGGGGGGAAAGGAGTCCGGTGTGCGGCGACGGGGCAGCGGAGATAAAATCTATTCCGCGGGGTGGCGGAGGGGGGGGTGGGGGCTTCCGGACACTCCCTAAATTGTGGAACATCCAAAGGGGGGGAGAGAACGATGCTCACCGACGGGGAGTAGCATGGTCGGGAGCAACGGAGGGGGCGATCGACACGCGCCTTTCGTGGGGACTATTGTATTTCGTGCCGGAGATCGGTGAGGCCTCGTTTTTTTTTTGTGCCCCTTTTAGAAGAGGACCGACAGAAGTAAGGTAGATACGGAGGAAGCGTGGGGGCAGGTCTCTCTTCGGCAACGAAAAGTGTTGAAGCAGATACCTTGACTCAGCGCCTGAACAAATAGGGGCTGCACGGCGGACCGGAGAATGCGCCCGAAGGAATAATTTCGGAATCAGGAGGTCGGGTGGGCGGGGGGGGCGAAGGTGATGCCGCTGGTCAACCTGTGCCGGCACGTGGCGGTTTTTACCTTGCGGGGGAACGGCTGGTTTCGTACTTGTATCTACCAGCATACCGGCCCTCATGCTTGTGTATTGTTACGTACGACGACCAGAGCGAGAGGGCGGGGGGGTTGCAATCGGCAGGGTGTTGACCGTGTAATGTATACCAAGACGAGGCTGGTGGTTTCCGCCACCGTCAATGTCACGTGCTGCCTGCTGCCCCTTGGTTTGGTACGTTGTTCGCGCAACGTGTGTACGGAGACTTGGTCGTTCGGTGTGCGGTTTGCGCAATGTGCGTACGAATACTTGGTCTGAGCGCCTGGCGAACGGGTGCGGTGGTTTGTTTGGTTTCGGTGTCGCTGTTGCTTCGGAAGCCATGCTGGGGATGAAGCGCCTTCGCCGTTCCCAAGCGGGGTGGGTAGCTGTGAGATAAAGTTCTTCTTTGTGGATTGGTTGGATGTCGCCACACACAATATTGTTGCCAAAAGCAAGTCGGAAAGAGTGTTGACCACGGCAGCGACAGCCGGGTAAGGTCCGAGTGTGTTTTGTGTTTCATTGTGGCCATCCGTACTACCTGGTGCGCTCGTGTTGTGTTTCAATGCAGCCCTTTCACAACGCCCCTGGTGCGGTAGTCTATTCGGCTACATACCAAGCATGGGGCGATTTGTGCGGTTTTCTTTACTAACCTCGGTCGGTGCTGTTGTGTGTTGTTGGCGCATCGCGTGCTTGTCTCTTTGTGTCTGTCTTCTCACGGCCAGCGTAGACTTGCCACAGCAGTCTTTCCCATATCGCATGGGAGTCAGCGGTAAAAGCAGTAGCGTCCCATTCGTTTTGGGCGGTCTCCTCCTGATGACAGTCGTTACTTCGTTGCCGTGCGTGAAAGTATTTTTAAGTTTGTTTTTGCTAGACAGGCATGTTGGTCGGTTTGCGTGTGGTTTTTGTATGCTTCGTACAGCTCCAAGACACAGGTCCGATGTGCGGTTGGGTGTGCGCAATTTTCCGTTCCACATGGAATCGAGCTTGGACATATTATTGGTGGCCTGGTTTGTTCCAAAGTGTGTAGATGAAGAAAGTACATCTGTCCGCCTTTCCCTCCGTTAATTCCATTTTTCGTGTCTCTTGCCGAAAACGACAAAGAAAGGCACCTGTTCGTTGGAGAAGTTGAACCCATCCAATGTAACTTTTGATACGATTGCTGTGTTTGTAGTCCGTAGCTTGGGGTTAGTTTGTGAACACGTAAGTTCCCTTTCGGCCTCTGAATACATAGCATGGAAATCAGTCAGTGGCGGGTTCCGCGCTAAAGCTCAATATTTGGGGGGGGTTCCGTGATTTCTCACCACGTACCTTCTATGGTCCGAAATTTTTATGGCATGGTCCTACGATGAAGTTAGGGTGCTGTGCGAAATTTGAGGTCATAAGTCGTTCGTCTTGCCCGGGTTTCAACCAATATTAGTTTATTTCGGTGGCTAAGAATCCGTAACGCAGAACCCGGGGATGGTCGCAAAAAATCCCCGTGTTTGAAATTGGCTCGGATGAAGCTGAAATTTTCCATCTGAGCTAATTTTGGGGCGGGGAACACGAATCCGGCGTTAGATTTTGATGATTCTCATTTGGTGCATGGATTCTGGCGATTTTTAGCGTGATCATCTGACCGCCACCGCCGTGAGAAAAAACAGAGAAACAAAAACATGATAGTGCCGGAAGGCACATGTTTACCCACAAAATATCCCCACAATTCGAAAGACGCGTACCCTACACGACCCCCTCTTCACCCTCTTGAAGTTTTATTATGTATTTTTCCTCAAACTGTGTACCGGTAACCCTCTGCATCAAACAAACGCTGCTCTTCTTGCGGAACTTGATTTCCTTTTTTTCCTTTCGAGCATCGACCTCATCATCCGCTCCAACGGGATCTACCCCGGTATCCATGACAACCTTAACCTTCTCCTCCGCTCCAACGGGATCTACCCCGGTATCCATGACAACCTTCTCCTCGACTACGCTCAATTGGAGCTTCGGGACAAGAGCGGGGTACTTTACGAACACGAAACACTTGTCGTAA